CTCTCTCTTTTTTTTTTTTTTTTAAACTAACAGATAACCTTCAGTTCTACTGGACAATTCCAAAAGCTGTGCCAAGTTTAACAACGCCAGTTTAGAGCCAAAGCAGGAGGTGATGTTATTACTTTTAATTAGAGATAAAAGTTTTGCACAAAAATCATCAGAGTGTATTTGGACAAAAACTGGAGAGGGACCAACTTGTATGTATAATAACACAAACATACGCGCGCGCACACACACACACACACACACATATATATATATATAAATATGCACACATAGTGTGTGTGTGTGTGTGTGTGTGTGTGTGTGTGTGTGTGTGTGTGTGTACAAAGGTGTGCAATCTCTCCCTTTTAGGACTATATATATCAGTTTACAGTCACGGATGTCTATGCGTGTGTGTGTGTGTGTGTGTGTGTGTGTGTGTGTACACAAACACACATATGCATATATACACATATACATCTTTCTAAAAGATTTAAAAAGGGAAATGTATACTGAGAATTACATGTTTATCTTCTTAAAAAGCTATACACACTAAACCAGTTTTTAAAACTTCTAAGATGTTTCTATCAAAAAAATTGTGGTGCACTTAAACTTTTTCTTTAGTTTTCCCATTTAGTGTCATTTCCCTACATATAATGAAATAGAGAAGTAGACACTGTGGCATTTACAAAAATCTGTCATTTAAACTACCACCAAAAGAAAAAAACAATTCAACCATAAATGTAAAAACCATTGGACTGCTAGGCTCCAGCAAGCCCATAACTTCCAATTAGTACAGTATAAAATGGGTGGAAGGAGTACAGAAAGAAGAGTGTTAAAAAAACTAGAAACTAGAAAATACTTTTTTGGTGTTTTGAAGACCATGGAAATGTCTTTCCCTGGCTATCTCCAAAGTTCTGATCTATTGGTACGTGTCAATTCACATCCAATTCCAGGGATGATTGCCATAGTAAATGGAACTGATGGCTAGCAATCATATGCATAAATATGGTCCTGACAGGAGATTCAATTTTGAATTTTGAATTTTGTATGCTCATTGTTTTATTTATCATTAAGGTGCCATTGTCAAAAGATGACCATACCAAACAACATAGTGCATTACCATTATATGGTAACATATTGAAGGCCATTGCAAAAATGTAACAAGTACAAGGAAATCTTCCAGTTTCTATTTATTTTTTGCTCTTATCTGGTACTAAATCCAGATAAAATAATCTTTGTGAAGGAACACAATACAGAAATTGTTCTGAGCAGTCTTTTGTAAGGGATGCTACATAATTATCTCAACATTTGAGCACAGATCCAGGTCCTGTATTCTTCTAAATAGAGATCAAATGTTGATTTGTTTACTGAGGGCATTTGTTCTAGGCTGACTCCTCCTTGCTCTGAACAATTAATCTTTTCAAAGAATGAAAGGAGGAGACGGCTTACCTTCTCCTTTGTTCAGCAAGAAAATATTTGAATGGATTTCCATTTGTATTTCACTATTTTCTCCCCTACTGTGGAGTGTTGTTGGAATCTGAGAGCAACTGAAATGAATTCCAAAATTAACTGGAGCTTGAGGCTGGATGAGCAGCAGTAGATGGAGAGGCCTTCCTACCGGCCTTTTTTTTTTTTAATTATTATTATTATTTTGAATCACAGGATGCTTGCTCACCCACTTGGCCTTCATTTTCCAGGTTCCTTTGGCAGAAATAGCACTCTGCCTCTTAGATGGTGTGCTTTTGGATACCATTTTTTAAAAAAAGGTTAAAACAGCTTCATTGCTTCTTCAGACCTCCTCAGAGTCAGAAAAACAAAATGAAATTGTAGCAATGTTTCAAAAAGGACAAGGAGTAGTGAAGAGCAAGAATCATAGTATTTTTTACTGGATCAACTAAATGTCTGGAATAAGTTAGAAAAGCGTTCAAATACAAGACATTTTTCATCAGGTCTGATAACATAATTAAAAGAGGACATCAGGACAGCACAGACTTGATTCAAAGAACTATTCTGAGATTTTTTTTTCAACTTTTTTTGTTTAATATACTATCCTTGAAATATAGGACTGTAGGTATATCTCTTGAGCAGTGTATAAGCTATCTCCTGAATAAAGTATTGGATCTAGTGTCTGTGTAAATATAAACAGCCATTCTGTCTAATCCTATTTTCTTATTATTCTTTCTTTATGAGAAATTAAACTAGGCCAGAGTTCTATTAATAGCTATCACTTTAAAGTCTAGACCAGCATTCAGCTACATTTTGAAGCCACAGGCCAGAACAACACAGCTCAGGTCCAGGCAGCTGAGTGCTCTGACTCTACAGTCATGTCTGCTTCACGCTGCCAGTGGTTTCTCCCCCACCCCCAGGCTGTGGTGTAGGAATAGCTCCCCACCACTCATTCCTGGAACAGTTCCTCATCACCTGGCCCCAGCACAGGCAAAGCTCCTCCCTGACTCTCCCCATCTCTGGAATGCTGCCGAAGACCCACCAGCTCTGTAGGATGGATCCAGTGGCTCTGCAGACTGGATCTGGCCCATGGGCAGCATGTTGCTGACCCCTTGTCTAAACAAACCATTTTTCTACTACTGACAGAGATATTATGATCCCATTTTACTCTGGTACTCTACTGACCTGAATAATATAGATTTACATGAGGCTAACAGAGATCTGAATCTTGCACAGGACATTACAGACCTTTCTACATATAGGGGAAGCACCAGAAAGTTGACAGCCAGGGCCAGGGCCAAAGCCAACAATTAGCTGATTAAGACCCAGTGTGACACTCACCAATCTGAGACCCCAGTGTGGTCCCAAGAATGGAACTGATGTTCAGGGGACCTGCCACACATTCAACTTAAGGCACCATACAAACTAGTAATTTACAAACCAGCCATTAACACGTTAATCATGGCATAAATGTAACGTGTTTTGGGGGCTGAGAGTCTTAGATATTTTCACCTACTTGAAACTGGTAGATTAAAAATCAAAGCTAACACTCTAGTGCTAATGAAATATTTTTGCTATAACTATTTAGAAGATGGCTAATATTTCCTGCACAGCATATAATATATGGCACATACACAAACACAAGGATGTGAGCAGAGAGGTATAATTATCTCAGGTTTAAACAGTCAATGAAGGCTAGATCTGAAACTGGTGTTAAATTTTTAACCCTTTCTGGTAACTACTCTCAGGTAACTGGGGAGAGCATCTAGATCTACATTTAAATTAAATTTAAAAAAATGTTTAAATATTTTTCAAAATGTTGTATGCTTTTAAAGCATAAAGTGAACAGAAATATATATTGCTTCTCCAAACAATAGCATAAACATAGCAGTAGTTATTACCAATTCAGATGTGATAATCAGGGATCCAGGTTTTCCATTTCCAAAAGAAAAAAACTGTGGATTTCCCCTTTTAACTGAGAAAAATGCGGATTTCTCATTTTAATGGAAAAGCATGCAGATTTTTAACTGTTGCAAAGAGCTCTCTGCAGGCTGGCAGAGTTCCAGCCTGCAAGAGGAGGGAGGGAACAGGAGGAGGACAGGCAGGCAGGGGGCGCCAGGTACATATATATGAACTTGACTGCCAGGCAGCCTGGAGAGCAACTCCAGCAGGTAAGTTGGGTGGGTAGGGGGATTGGGGCCCCCATAATGAGGGCTGGAGGGAAGGAGGGAGTTAAGCATGGCTGGGGCTGTTGACCAGCCAGGTGGTGCATGGGGCTTGGGGTCCAGGGCCAGAATACATGGCCTCAGGCAGGGAGTGGGACAGGACTGCGGGTGGCTTGTCTGGGAGATGGAGGGTGTTGGTTCCCTGCCACTGCGTGCACTCCTGGAAGGGGCATTGCGGGGACATTCCCACCAGATCTGTGATTGGGTGGGTGGATGCAGGCTGCTCACTATGGGCTCAGGCTCTCCACCCTGCTGCCCTCCTCCCAGGGCCTCTGCTGCCCAGTAGGTGGGACCTGGCATGGCAGGGCATAGCAGGGCTGGGCAGGGAAGTTCCTTGGCACTACAAGCCCCACGCCACCCTGGAGAAGTGCCCTCTGCTTGACCAGCAGCAGTGGGGGTGTCAGCACAGAACTGTGGCCCTTGCTGCTGCCCGGTGGGTAGGGAGCACCTCTCCAGGGCAGCCCAGGACTTGCAGCAGCAAGGAGCTTGCCCACCCAACCCCACTCTGCCCTGCCATGTCAGGTCCTACAGTGTATTTTTCTGTAAAAGGCAGCAGAGCAGGGAACCAAAGGCCACAGTGGGCAGCCAGCACCTGCCCCCCCCCCCCCCCGGG